AACATGAAATATGTCTTAGAAAAGTTACTGAGCCTTCTATAAAAAATAAAGAACTAGCAGTAATATATAATGTTAGCGAAGAATGTATTAGTGATACATTAAAAAAATTACAAAAATGGCTTGAAATTGATCCTCAAGCATCCGAAGCTCAAGGTAAAAGACAGATCAAGGTAAATTTTCCAGAAATTGAAGAAGCTCTTACATTATGGGTATTAAAAGCTTTAGAATATGGTGTTGATATCAGTGATCAAATTTTACATAAAAAAGCTATGGCATTTGCTTCTCTATATAAAATTGAAAATTTTAAAGGAAGTAATGGTTGGATTGGCGGGTTTAAAAAAAAACATAACCTTTTTTGTTATTTAAAACAAGGAGAAGCTGCAAGCGCGCCTCTTGATCAACTTGATGAATTCAAAAAAAACTTCAAGATTTGATTCGTGATTATAGTCTTGAAGATGTTTTCAATTGTGATGAAATAGGTTTGTATTAAAAAATGGAACCCAAAAGGATGATTTCTAATAAACCTGTATCTGAATGAAAACAATCAAAAGAGCGTGTGACAATTCTTCTTTGTTCTAATACAACTGGTACAGAAAAACTCAAACCATTATTTATCCACAAATATAAAAATCCTCGTCCTCTAAAAAATTTACCTAAAAGATCTTTGCCAGTAGAATATTATTGGAATTCAATAACTTGGATGCAGGTTTCTATTTGGAATGATTAGATTCGTCAGCTTGATGCAGCAATAAGATTAAAGGAAAGAAATATTCTTCTTCTTGTGAATAATGCACCTGTTCATGTTTTATATGAAGATGTGGAATTAACCAATATAAAAATTGAATTTTTATCTCCTAACACCACTGCGCATCTTCAGCCATGTGATAAAGGCATTATAAACAGCTTTAAGATACTAAAATTTCAAACTAATTTTGATAATTAAAAATTTTAATTTTAACTTACAGTATCTGCATTTTGTAGGCGCAATATCGAAAATTGTTTCTT